AGAAAGAAAGGTTTTGGATCCTGTTTTCTGCTCCAACACGAACCCCGAGGAGACCAGATGGGGTGCCTGGCTGCTCTTTCTCCGGTGGAGACAGACAGAGGCTCCCCGACACCCCGAGTGGGCCCGCCTGTCCCCGTCCAGGAGACTCTCCCCGGGAGTGAGGATGGCCCCCAGGTGCCCCGCTGGGCCCACCCTGCAGTGAGGACGGCACCCTGGGATGGACTTTGTCCTGGGACAAGGACAGTCTCTTATAGAGGGGCAGCACAACTCTCCAAATGGGAACCCACGCCCCACAGCGACGCAGCCTCATCGTCTCACCGTGGACGGTGCCTGGGTTTGGCGACTGCCCCTGCCACGGACCTCACGGTGGTCTCCCCTTCTGGGCCAGCATCTCTTTGGAACACAGGCGTGGTGCTCTGTGCTCTGGGTCTAATGCCCGTGGCCGGGCTCCACTCTCAGGGCTGGGTGTGCCGGGAGTCCAGAAAGTCCGTCCAGCCAGGAGACTCAGGCACGGGAAGGAGGCTCTGTGCTGGGGGCAGGGCTGCATTGTCCTCGGGCCTCGGTACACGACGGCGCCAGTGGGGAGCCATTCGGGGGGGGGTGCCCTCCCCTCGACGATGTCTGTTTTGTGGGGACCCTATGGCTTGCCGAACGTTACTGACGAGTGCCCGCGTCACTGAGGTCGGGCCGCTACCTGCAGTTCACCGGCAGGGAAAGGAGTGGAGAACTAAGGTGCCACCAGACGGAAATCCTGAGAAAATGACTCATGGTCCGACTCTAGTGGAACCATTTTTCTTCCGCTCAGTGGAGATGGACCCTGCCGCCTCTGTCCGTGGAGTCGCATGAGACTCTAAGGGCCGAGTGTCACAGAGCCCGCGGACCCCGGGCGGGTGGTGTGGGGCACCAGCTCCTCCCCCTCCCCCGTGCCCCTGGCTCAGCTCTGGGGGCGAAAGGACGCCCCCTGCCCAGGGTGGCCAGCTGCCCCCGAGCCCGGGCCCAAACCCACCAGGAGCACTTCCGTCTGAGAAGGACAGAAGCAGGGAGCCCCAGGAGCCCGAAATCATAACCAGAAGTGTTGGCAGAGAGCGACACCAGCTGGTGCGGGCCACCCAGGCCTCCACCTTTCACGGTGGTGTGAGGCCACGCCGCCCCTGCCCTCGGCTCCCCCACCCCTGCCCTCACCTGGGCACCGCTGGTGTGTGGAGGGGCCGTTCTGCCCTGGGGAGGCTCCGAGGTGCCCTCTGTCTCTGTTCCCAGAGCTCATGTGCTCCCTGGGTGGAAATGCGTGACCATGGGTTTGAGCATCACGAAGACTAAATTTACTGAGAAAAGAGCAGATTCAGGTCTCAGCAGAGACAAAGCCCTACCGTCCCCACGGACGTTTGCCGGACTGGGCCCCACATGAGGACTAGTGTGGGGCTCTGGGATTCTGCCCAACCGTGCCCCTCAACACCGAGGGCTGGGGGTGACCCTGACCCTGGGGGTCAGTGCTAAGGGCACCTGTTAGGGAAGTCTAGACTCTGACCTTCTCTCTCCTGCCCACCATGTGCCTCCGTCTCCCACATCCCATGCGCCGAGTGGCACGGAGGCCTCCGCACTTCTGACAGAAAAGACGGGACCTCCCAGACCCCCTTCTGTTAACTGAGCAGCAGAGACAGCCTACGACACGGACGGGGTGCTGCTCGGGAACCTGGTCGCGCACAAGCTGTGTGTGCGTGCTTCTCCATCTGTGTGTGCGCACATGTGGGTCTCCTCTGTCTGTGTTGCGTCTCTGTGTGTCTCTGTGTGTCCACGCGCTCACATGCATGTCTACGTACGTGCTCCTGCGTGTGCGTCCGTGTGTTTGCACACGCGCGGACACAGCCCCCCGGGTTTTACAACACTGGACTGGAAGGGGTCAGCTCCTCCCCTACTCTCCTCCTTTAACTGGGAAAATGAGAGCACACCAGGGCAGAGCAGACATCTAGGAGCTGCGGCTAGAACCAGGCCAGAGCTGGCGACCAGGATGTCAACCGCCCTGGGGCAGGCAGAGTCCTGGGTCCGGGCTGGGGGCCACCGGGATCACGAAGCCGGGCGAGCATCTGGCCGAGTCAGGTCTGAACTGACGCTCAGGCCCTCCAGGTCTCTGCCGCCGCTGGTCTCTGGTCACACTGCAGGTTCGCTGGGGGGATGGACATGAACCCTGCCCCCAACCCACCCCAAAGCCAGCCACAGAGAGCCCGGGGTGACGGGATCCACGTGGTGCCTGAGGTCAGAGCAGGGGACCGGGCAGGGCCGCAGAGGGATCAAACACGACCCGTGTGGGCTGACCCATACGGGCAGGGCCCTTGTGGGGACTGTGTGCGCCCCAGGGAGACGGTGCACCGAGCGCACGATGGGTGGTGCTGTTTCTTAGAGGGGCTTTCTAGTGAGAAGACCCCTCAGGGGCAGGAAGTCTTCGCTGTGACCCACAGTCTGTCGGAAAGACAGAATCGACACCCTCCGGGGGTCAGAGGACAGCCCGGACAAGGGAAGGCAGAAGGCCCCGTGGGCTCCTCCTTCCAGCTACCCTGTCAACTTGGGGCTCAGGGTCTGGGGCCTCGGCTGGCCTGGGCCTTGCCCTGCCCTCTGACAGGCTCTGCTTGGCCCAGCTCCAGGCGACACACCCAGAGATGGCGCAGCTGCTTTCAGCGGTGACTATTCAGAGTCGCTCGGAAATCCGATCCCAGGTCCCCTCATTTCTAAACTGGACTCCCGCAGGCCAGTGCCCAGGAGGGGCCCTTGTGGACAGGGGGGCTGGCAGCTGACCCCCCCCCCCCCCCTTCGAGCGCGGGCGGGGGGAGGGGGCACCCCCAGACCCGAGCCCGCCGGCCCCCCCCCCCCCCCCCCCCCCGTCAAGCATCACTGCTTGAAACCAGCAACGTTCGCCCCGACCTGCCCAGGGGCCCCAAAGCCCAGATGGGGGACGCGAACCTGGAGCCCCTCTCCTGAGCTGGAGCAGGGTGTGCAGAAGGGAGCGGGGACGGTGGTGAGGCCCCAGCCACACTCCTGGGAGCCGCTCACGGCCGGCCGCCCAGAGGGAAGACAGCTGGAGCCTGGGGCCTTCAGGGGAGATGGACTGTCCGGTCTCTGAGGGCGTCGGGCCACAGCGAGTGTTTAGTGAAGGCGGGGCCTGTGGGCGCGGAAGGGGGGCTGCTGCAGACGTCCGCCAGGATGCGCCCTGGGCTCTGCCAGTGTCCCTGCCTCGAGCCCAGGGACTCGGGGGACAGCCCTGTGGGGGGTGAAGCGGTGTCACCTAGATGTCTGATCACAGGGGCCGACGGAGAGGAAGCCAGAGTGGGGAGAGGCTGCTTCGGGGGGCTGTGCTCACGCCACCGTGGCTTGTTTTGGAGGATTCAAACCCGCCTGCTCCTGGCCAAGCCCTTGGGAGCCCAGGGCAGGGGCAGGGGTCAGAGCAGAGGCAGCTGCCGCGTGGGCGGCGAGTGCCAGCGACCTGAGCTGCTGAGCCCAGCCTGCCTCACGACACCTTCGGAGGCAGGGGTGTGGCCACTGGGCCCCCCAGCCCGCGCAGCTCAGGGGAGGCCCCTGCACAGCTGGTCAGAGACAGGAGCAAGGGAGACAGCTCGGCCCTCTGAGGCCTCGGGAAGACAGTTTCCCACAGCTCGTCGCACGCGGCCCCGTGTGGCTTTGCCTCCAGCGCAGGGACGGCATCACAGGCAGGCAGCCGGGCTCTACGAACCTCCCTGCGACGCGCGGCTGGGGGTGGGTTCCTTGGCACGCAGGGGACCCTGTGGCCATAAGCTGCAGCCTGGGGAGTGATGCGTGGACGGCCCCCACCCCAGCCCACCGTCCTGCTTCCAGCAGGAACCCTGGTCAGAGGCGGGAAAGGATGGCCAGATGGGCACGGGGCACCCTGGCCGCCTCCTTGGCTCTGCCCTCCCAGACCCTTCACCTCCGTCCCACCCTGCACCTCCACAGCCACCCGGTCCTAGGGCCACAACACCGTCCAAAGTGGCATCTCTGCCTGGACTTCCTTCCACACAGGGCCCTTGCCCAGGTGAAGCCTTCTCTCCATCCTGCGGTGCCCGACCCTGCCAGGATGCCTTGTCCTAGCTGGTCCCCAGGGAGGGCTCCCGCCTGGGCTCCCGTGGCACCTTGCTCAGACCCTCAGAGGGCTGTCGGGCACTTGGCTCCCGTGTTGTCCACCTCACAATGGTCCCCCACCTGCCACCACGCACAAATACCTCAGGATCTTCCCAGCAGAAGCAACTTTGTCATTACCAGCACCGAAATTGTGCTTCTGAGCATTTCCCCGAGCCAGGAACCGAGTGCTTCCCACGCACTTTCTCCTGAATCTTCTACCGCCGGAGGTCGGGCTGGGGTTACCCGGTTCACAGATGGGAATACTGAGGCTTAACTATGGAACCAGTCCCAGGTGGCAGCAGGTTTGGCTATAGCTCCAAGTGTGAGTGGGGGCAGGGCAGCCAGGAGGCACTGGACGCAGGGGGTCGGGCAGAGGTCAGTGCTGGCCTGCAGAGACCGACAGACCTAGCCTCCTGGGGCCACAGATCCTTTCAGGGAAGCCGGCAAAGGGGGCTGTCTCCAGCACACACACGTTTACTTTAAACCTCAGGGAGTTTGGGGACAGCTGAGGCTTATCTACGGACCCTCTGAGATGTCCGTGGTCTGACGGCCCAGCCCCTTTTGATAGGAGGGCACAAGATGGGGCGTGAGATCTGGCAGCTCAGGAGTGAAAGGTGGGGGAAGGGGATCAGGCTGCTCCTGAGCGCCTAGCCCCCTGCCCCCATCCCCTTCCCAGCTGCACCAGACTACAGTCTCCTGGGGACATCCTCTTGCTCCCGGCCCAGAGGGCACACAGGCTGGAAAGGACTTTTGAGGGGAGGGAAAGAATGAGAAGCCCGAGATGCCCGAGGCACCCCTGAGTGGGGAGTATCTGCCAACCCTGCCCCCTGGCCAGATCCCACTTCTTCCCCCCCTTCTCCTCCGACCCGGCTTCTCACCTGGATGACGACCTTGATCATGGCGGTGCCCACGACGGGCGTGCACACCAGGCCGCCGGGGTGTTGGCCGTCAGCGCTGCGGTTCTGCTGGCCCATGGTGAAGGGCATGGGCACGGCCAGCAGGCCCGAGGCGAGCCAGATGGCGCCGATAAACTTCTTGGTGCGGCTGCGAGACATGAGGGTCTTGGCCCTGAAGGGGTGGCAGATGGCCAGGTAGCGCTCCACACTGAGGCTGGCCACGTTGAGGGCCGTGGCATAGGTGCAGGCATCGCGCAGGAAGTAGTAGCCGCGGCAGCCGGCGTCACCGAAGGCCCAGGGGTGGTGCACCCAGATGAAGTTGTACAGCTCCACGGGCATGGCCAGCAGCAGGATGAGCAGGTCCGACAGCGCCAGACTCCCCAGGTGGTAATGCACGGTGCTCTGCAGGCTCTGCAGCGACTTCTTGCGGCCCAGCGCGAACGCCGTCACCGAGTTGCCCACCGTGCCCACCGCGAAGAGCGCCAGGTACACGGCTGTCACCAGCACCTTGGAGTAGATGTCGGTGTTCACGTCCAGGTCGCTGCTGGGCGCCGCTCGCAAGCGCTCGGACTCGTTGCCCGTGCTGTTGCCGAAGCCGGGGACTAGGAGCGCCGCCTCCATCCCGGAGGGCGGCAGCGGGAAGGGTTTGGCGCCCGGCGCGTCCTGGGGACCGGGCGCCGAGCCGTTGAGGCGCATGGTGGGCGCGGCGCCGGCGGGGACCTTAGCGGAGGGAGCTGCGGGGAGCGGCGGGGAGCGCGCAAGACTGCGAGCGGGCGCGCCGTCCAGCCGGGCAGCTCCCGACCCGGCCCGCGCCGCCCCGGAGCGCTCGCGGCGCGCTCACCGGGGGCCTCCGCTTCCCTCCCGCTCCCGGCGGGCCCGGCTCGCTCCGAACTCCAGCCTCCGCGGCTCTGCGGGTCCCCGGCGCGCGGAGAGCCTGTGGCGCCCAGCGGAGCGCACGCACTGCCGCCCCGGCACGCTCACTCCCTCGCCTGCGCGGTCCTCGCTCGCGCTCCCCGCGCGCCCCCGCCCCGCCCCGCACTCCGCCCGCCGCGCCCGCGCCTCCCGGGCTCCGCGACTCAGCGGGCGGCAGCGCGGCGCGCCCAGCCGCGGGGGGCGGTGGCGGCGGCAGCGGCGCGGCCCCAGCCTCTGTCCCCGCCCAGCCTGAGTGTGGGGCTGGCGGGTCCCCCGCGTGCCGCCGGGGGTGCGTAGGGGATATGGGTTCTTTCCCCACACCTCTCCCAGGAGCATGCTCTTCGTTTGGGGTCTTCCCGACTTCTCACGCCCCCGCCCCCACCCCCACCCCCAAGGAGGGAACTGCCCCCCGGACGCTTCCAGCGCTCTCAGGGGGGTGAGGGAGGGACAGGGGTACGGTGGGCTGAACAGCCCGCACGGTGCCATTCTGGGTGCCCAGGGGGGCTCTAGCACAACTGGGTGGGAGCGGTGAGTGGGGGCACAGAGAGCAGGAAGAGAGCAGCGCCCCTCCCCAGGCGGACTGGGGTCCTGCACCTGGCACCCTGCCGGGCTTTGTCCCACCGTGCGTGCGTGCCAGTGGGCACACCGGCCTTTTATCACCACCTGGATGTGATCATCAGAAGTCACCCTCAGAGCCCATGCCTAGCAGGCTTGGGAAGGGTGGCCCTGGGGGTCCCAGGGTGGGCCTGTCTGGCTATACCTGCTGTGCTGAGAATAGGAACCTGGAGGAGGCGGAGTGGGGTCAGAGGCTGGGGTGTGGGAGGAAGAGGTTGGGCATCAGAAGCTGGGCCAGTCGGGACCAGCCCAGCAATGGGTCCGTATTTATTCCTCTCTTTTCAACAGGCTTTGGACTTGACTGCTCTGCAGAAACCTGCTGTTCTCATCAGGCGATCCCAGCACATAAAAACATGTGCTTAAAAACTCAGCCCTCAAAGACAACTCGAACCTCCCTTTGCTGGAAGCTGGTAGGCAGGCTGGGAGGCTCCCGGCATGGCTCCATCCCGGCCTCCATGCTTCGAAATTGGGCACCTGCTTTAGCGTCCCCGTGCCTCCGTTTGTCATCTGTAGAATGGGCATGGTGGTTGAACGGATGGCCCCCGGCCAGGGCTGGTCCGGACGCTGATGGTGCAGGCACGCATCAGGGGCTCCGTGGACACCTGCTGCTGGGCGTTGCTGACGGGATCGTGCAGCGGCCTCACAGGGCGTGCGGGTGAAGGCCCAGGCCGGCAAAAGTGGCGTTAAACCCCAGATGGTAAGACCGGCTTCTCTCTGGAAGGCAAGTCCACCAACTAAGTAAATGGCTCTTGGGATGGTGACCTGGATGTGCAGGTCACAAGAAGAAGGGACTGTGCCAGACCACATGGGAGCCCTGGGTGACACTGGGGTCTTACCACGGGTGACACTGGGGTCTTACCATGGGTGGCGGCATCTGGTCGCCGCTCTCAGGAGCCTCCCCAGGGGAAGGCACCAGCTGGTGGCCACTGGGGCCCGTCCATTTGCCGGCCAGCAGCTGAAGCTGCCCGGGACGACACCGGTGGAAGCGTGCTCCGGCCCAGCTGCTTAAGCTCACTGTTTGGTCTTCAAACCCTGACCTTTGCGGTAAGCCAGGCTTCTTTTCAAAGATTTCTTCTTGAGCCAGCCTAGGAGCTTAAAAAATCATAAAAGTCAACTTAGTGCAAATATCGGATGAGGCATTTGCTTAACACCATGGAGGAAATGTCACTTGGAAGGCCTCGGTCTACAAAGAGGGCAGCAGGCCCTTGTCGGGGCTCCCTGGTGGCCCTCTTGGAGCCCCTGTCCCGTGTCCTGGGAGCCTGGACGGCACAGAGGCCAGAATCTTCCCACTCATTCGGCGCGAACGTGTCCTGTAACAGCTGAGACCCTTCTAAGAAAGTGCCAGCACGGCGGGGAGGACACATCCTGGGTCTGGCTGTGTCTGCGGGTGACAGCCCGTGCCCTTGGCTGGTGTCTGCCCCTGAGGCTGACAGGCGAAGCTTGGCACTTGGCGGGCTTTGGGGGAGGGGAGCCCTGTATGGTGAGCTGCTCCCAGCTGATCGGAGAGCCTCGGGACCTGTCGCCCCTGACCCCAGGCTCCGGGGCGAGCTGGCCGGTCCCATGTGCACAGATGTCTGAGCTTCGCCTACCGAGCCCGCTGGGCTGGTCCCCGTGCTGCCTGAGCCTGCAGCTGTGGGAGGAGTCGGGGGGCTCACTCATCTCGGGAGTCAAGATCCAGGTTGGGGAGACGTCCGCTTTTCTGGATGCAGGATTTCAGTCCCCGGAGTTATCAGTGCCCTGAGCCGCGCTCCGCCCTGGAGGTCCCTCTCTTTGCTCTGGGCGCCCTCCGCGGGACGGCAACTCTGGCAAGCAAGAGACATCTTCCTAATAGTCAGTTAGCAGTCGCACCGCTCTCGGGACATCGCGATGATGTTTCCTGCAAGGCTGGGGGGGTGAGAGCTTCTGTGGGAAGGTGCTGTGAGGAAGGTAATTCGAGGAAATGTAATTGCGCACTTGCGGAGTTTTAGCTGTGGATTTTCCCATCCGCGACATGGAAATCGCACATGTGCCCGAATGTACAGCATTCCAAGGAAAAATTTAAAAATAGAGCAACACGTGTGTAAATACAAGTGAGGTGTGAGTGTGAGCCGGCCGGAGGGGCGGGCAGAGCCTTGCTCAGCTGGGGCCCCCTCGGGCTCATGGCCTGTTCAGGCTGTCGGCAGACCCCAGAGGTCCCGCTCCAGGCCCGTCGAGTTCCACTGTGTCATCCTTGTCTCTCCCGGCCTCCTGGTGAACCGCACGCCCTTCACGTGGTCCGTGCGCGTGTGTCTGCGTGGGAACGAGAACACGTATGTTGGGCACCTGGGCACACGGGCTCAGAGATCTTCACCAGCAAGCGCATCGCCAGCCTCAGCCCCTGGGCTGGGTGTGTGCGTTTCAGAGAAAGCCATGCGTGTGGCGGGGAGAGAGGAAGCCCCGAGCGGGGAGCGTGCCTCCAGCGTCACCCCCCCCCCCGCCCTACCCCGGGAGCTGCAGCGCAGAACCTCACTGGGCCACGGCCTTTTCTCCGAATGTGTGTTGGAACCACTGTGGGCACCTTCACCAACAGGCTGGGCCCCGGCCCTGGGGCCCCTCATTCTTGGATCTCTGTGGACGAACGCTGACAGAGTTAGTTTCCATCGGCCAGAGGTGCTCTCCCTAGGGTTTCCCCTGCATCCACTGTCCCTTTGTCCTTCCATCCAGTAGTAACCGAGTGTGGTCAGCACCGGGCACAGGGGCCTGCCTTCCCAGGGCTCACAACACACCATGTGGGGAGCGTTCCGTGCCGAAGTGTTTGCAGGTGGGGGGTCTGGGTGTGAGGGGAGGAGGGCTAAGGGGCCTGGCTCTCGGCCAGAGGTGAGGACGGAGGGGCAAGGCCCCGGGGGGCTCAGCGCCCGGCCCTGGAGGGGGACACAGCGGGGACTTTATTCCCTCTGGATGTGCAGGTCAGGGGCTGGTCCCTCTGGGACCCTCACGCTCTACGCCTCCATCGTCACCGCACCCAGAAGCCAGCCCCTCCTCCTCACCAGTCCTGGAGGCTTGTCAAACAGAAGCAGCTCCTGGCCCTTCAGGCAGCCGAGGGCGGGACAGCCTGGTGGAGCCGCGCTCGCGTTCACCCCATCTGGACATTGAGGCTTCCGTGAGGCGCCACGCCAGGAAGCTGGGGTTTGGGAGGAAAGGGGCCAGGTCGGATCATTTCCTCAGGAGAAAGAAAATCCAACTTCCAAGACACGTTCAAGGTCGCTCAGTCCCCGGAAGTGTCCTGGGACGGCTGGCTTCGGGTTCGGGCGGGCGTGCACACGAGGATGCTTGTCAGAACCGCCTTAGAGGCAGCACGGCGACTCCCCCGGACCAGGCTCGCAACGGACGGAGGGGCCCTCTGGACGGAGGCCACTGCTGCCTCCCTGCTCACCCCCTCCTGGTCATGCTGGGAGGAGGTCCCTAATTTGCTCTTGGGCAGAAGGCGCGTGCGCGCGCGCGCGCGCGCACACACACACACACACACACACACAGCACGTCTAACACAGAAGGACAATCCCATCTGCTCAGTGTGCAAAGAAAAGCGGTGTGTTTGCAGCTCTCGCCCTGGGAGACGGACAGTTTCTGAGCCTGTTATAAATTTACCAATTTGAGGTTGAATTTCCCAGGCACACTCCGAACATAACAGGCGATTTAAAGCCGAGAGGGTCCCGTTCGGCTACTATGGCGCTTCTATTTATTATCTGGAGGAAGGGGGACAAGGAGGAAGGGGGGCTGGGAGTTCTTGGACTCGGGAGCATGCTGGCTGTTTGACAGCCGTGTGCGGGGACCCCTCCCCATGCCCCCCCGCCCCCAGCACCTCCCTGGGCGAGGCGGGGAGGGGCATGGGGGCAACGGTGCCCCTTCCCCTGCCTTCCCGACTTCTCTCCTCCTTGGCGGGGAGAATGGAGTTTGCATAAACATGACGCTGATGGTTCCAGCTCTTTCTCTGCAGATCTGAAGCTCCCTTTGTCTGTAATCAGGAGTTCTAGTTGCCTAGAAATATTTAAATAGAAGAAATGTCTCTCATCTTGTAGTGACTTCATACGAGTTCCTAAAATAAAACTCGAACCGAAGGCTCTTTTGTCATTCTTGCCTCAGAGCTCCGGTGGCTGCTCAAGGGCACACCCAGCCAGGTGCGGGGGGCTGAGGGCGAGTGGCCGCAGGGGCTC